CCCCCCAAAAAAAGTACATACTGTATGATTTCATTTACAAAGAAAACTGTTTAAATGCCAAGTAATTTCCAGTTGCAAAATTCAGATCAACTTTTGCCTGGGAGTAAGCAGAGTTCAAAGAGATCTGGCCTAGGGGTGAGAAGCTGCACTGTAATCCCCAACGCACACAGTTCAAAACCATCAGCTTCACGACGGGAGAAGGATAGGCAATTTCCTCCCATGCTGTTAACTGTCTCTGAAAATGCACTGGAGGGTCAGCTATGAAGTTGATTTTGACTCAGTGGCACACAACAACAAGAAGTAGAGCTGAGAGGGATTAATAAAAAGCAAAAGAAAACTTTTGGTGATAATATTTATTATCTTGACAGTTTCCCTTCCCCTTCATAGGTGCACATGTATGTCAAAATTCATCAAATTTTATTGCTTGAATAAAATTCAAGTTAATGGTAAACAAATTATACCTTAGTACAATGACAGAAGACGGGGGTGGGGGGAGCCCACAATTCATTGACTATTAGAAGCTTGATACAGGTTTCGTTCGGGGGTTGGGGAAGAATGGGTAAGCACAGATGATTAAGAATGAGCACCCAAACTGCCTCTGGGGGTGGCTGGCAATGTTTGGATCTTGTTCTGGATGCTGTTTACATCCAGAAAAACGTGAAGACTAATCAAATAGTTCACCTATGATCAGTGCACTCCCCTATTTGCATCTGCGTTCTTCCATCAACATATTACTTAACTATATAAAATTAAGTAATAGAAATATTACCTAATTATGTAACATGATATAAAAACAGTGTATATACAGACTGAGCAGAGGAAACACAATACTATCTGTTCTGTCATTTCATCATACCAGTTGTGGTGGTGGAATTATCTGGAAGACAGCTATTCTATAAGTAGAGAAACGAAGCCAGCAGCAGCACCAGCATTGGGGGGGGATGTGAAATCATTACCAAGTGACAGGCAAGTGACAATTACTTTTAGTAGGATTTACTCTTAAAAATCTCCAAAAGGATGATCTCTTGCTGACAGTTACAACTCCTTCGTAACAGGCAAAATGTACAAGACAGAAATCATTTTTTCCAATATATTCACTACTACTCTCAATCCTAAATTTAAAAACAAAATCAAATGAAAGGTAAGATGAAACTTCTCTCAATCCAAAATAAAAATCTAAGCATAACTTTTTAAGATCCCATTAATTCTTGTCCTATGTGTTAGTGATTCGGAACAGAAGGATCTCATGCCTCTCCACATTCTATAGACCTCCACTATTTTTAAGATAAAAATATCATCTTAAATTTCAATGCAATTGGGATTATTTTCAAATTAGTAATGTTCAAATATCATTTGAAAAGCCAAACCTGCTGCTGCCTTGTTGACCAAACTCATGACTCTCTCCATCTCACCGCCATCAAGTCTGTCCTGACTCATAGCTGATCCTCCAACAGGTTCTGATTCACATACAGTGAATTGCACAGGAAGAGGTTGCCTATTTTTCTGATGAGGAGCTGTTGTTGATGATTGTCTTCGAGTCGAGTATGACTCATAGCGACTGTATGAACAAAAGGCCTGAAGGCCCTCTACAACTACAGACACTTATCAAAGTTCACAGAGTTTCCAGAGGCATGGTGTTTAGGAAATCCCCAGTGAGGCTCGGCCTTTGGGTTAGCAGCACAATTCCTTATAGATTACCAATGTGACCTTTGTTGTTGTGTGCTATCACTGGGAGTCTCCAGTTGGGCTTTCAGAGGCTATAAATCACACTGGAGGATCTTTCTCTTGTAGAGCAGCTGGTAGATTCAAACTGTGTGCCTTTGAGACTACAGTGCAGTTTCTTACCACTAGGCCACAGAGCTCCCTAGGCAAATTTCCCTTTATACTGTTTCTAATGTCATAAATCTTTAAACAGAATTAAACAGAATGCTACATTTTTCTCCCACTTGAGCAGCTGATGGGTTTAAGTCATCAACCTTTTTGTTAGTAACTACAAGCTTAATCACTGCACCAAGATTCCTTGTGATCCGAAAGCTAACTTTAGAATTCATTTAATCTGCAATTTTCAATTACAGAAGTCCAACGTTGCTGTTATACATCACAGAGTCAGAATCCACTCACAGTTGATCCTCCAGTGGGTTTTCAACCACATGCAGAAGATTGTCCGCCTTTCTCCCATCACAGCAGCTGTGGATTTGAACCACACGCCTTTGTGCTGGCAGTGCAACTATTTACCACTAAGTCTCAGTCAATAAAATAAAAATTTTTTTAAAATAAATTTACAAAATGCATCTTCATTGCTTTTTTCCATTTTACAAAATTGTGTGCCCAAAAAATAATTCTACAAAGACTAACAATTCCCTTTAAGGAGGTTAAAAAAAATTCTTAGGAATATCACATCATGGTTTCTGTATTTATTATACTTTGTATTCAGAAATTTTATGTTATCCTGTTTCCTGAACTTGGCGGGGGTAGCCATTCTACATGTCAGGGACAAAATAAAATTAATGGTAAGTTCTTTATCAAATAGTTTCATCCCCGTTTTAAGAAAGGATTTCATCCTTTCTACTAACTGGCTTGGAATACTGACAGAGTGCATGTAAATTCTAAATATCTTTAGATCAGCCCATGTCTCACACTGCTATCATTTAAAATAACAAGCTTTCAAAAAATTTTTCTAAAACACTTCTAAAATGTAGTTGGGCTCTGGTGGCCTCGTAGTTAGGCGTTACAGCACCAACCCAAAAGACAGGCAGTTCTTAGGAGACGGATGGGCAGTCTTCAGAGGATCTACTGCCTCTAAAAACCCACCAGTAGGTCAGCAATGAGTAGGTTCTGACTCAATGAGTTGAGTGAAAATTTACCTGAAAAAAATTAAATATATTCCACAGATAATACTACATAGACATTAATACTAATTTTAACTGGGTAGAAAATTCCTGAGCAAATAGGGTATAGTAAGAATGATTTTTTTTTTAAAAAAAAAGTTCAGATTCTTATTTTTCAAGTTCTACCAAATTAAGAAGACAATATTTACTATTTAATACTATATAACTTTTAATAAAGGTAAGAAAGAATTTTCTATGTTTATAATACTAAAAAAATACTTGTGTTGGCCGATCTATCAGCTTCTTTTATCACCTATAAGCATACTACTGGTAAATGTAGTCCTCCTAAGCATTTCCCAAAATTAAAATAAACAAAGTGAGCAAGTTCTGATAAAACTATCCAAGATATGATTAGCACGGGGGCTGGTTCCTAAACTTTAACATTATAACTACATACATTCTTCCCTTATTTAACCCAAAAAGAATTGGTAAAATAAGTTGACAAAAATATCTTGGAATATTTTTCCTTATAAGAATGTATTTTAACAAGAAAAATTTCATCCGTTCCCTTCCTGGTTTTTCTACCATAATTATTCATATTGTTCTTCTGCTTATCTATAGAGAATTCATGTTCCAAGAGATCACACAATCATGGCTGTCACTCAAAGAATGTTCTTCCTATTAACCAAACTCTTGAGTTTATAGTTGGCACTACTTTCCTCCACCACCCTTCTCCCCCAAATCTCATCACCACCATTTTACTGGCAGAACATGCTCAAGGCTAAAGACTTGTTTCTCATCTCAGCAAACTCAACGCCTAAAATTGTACAGCTAGCCACAAACCAGAAGTTAGAAGCTACATAAACACAATGGTTCTGAAATGCCTGTGTGCATGTATCTAAAGAATGCAGTAATATCTTCTTTATCTATAATGTTCTAAGCCACAGTTAAAAGCCATCTATCCAATTATATTAATAAAATTATTTACCTTGATCATTCTGCTACCAGATCATGTCATCCTTACAGCGGTATACTAAGTAGTTCTTTCTATCATTCTGGATTCTTTGCCTCACATTTTCAAATACTTTCCTACATTATTCCTTAACTACTAAATTACTGCTCCATATTATTTTAAATATTAAATCTATGGACCAAAAAAGGCCATGGAGAACTAAACACATTAAACAGAAATCAATACATACATCATGAATACAAAACATCATAGCCAATATAAATTATGAAATAATCAAAAGAAAGGTAAGCCTCAACTGTCTGCTCAAGAACCTCAATTTAAAACATGATGGAGTATACACAATTGTGGTCAATAGAAGTGAACACATTATTTACTCTATCAACTGTAGCTTCCTTTTCTAAACTGAGATAAACATACCTTAATTCTAGCTGACAAGGGGAGGGAAAAAAAGTCATTTCCGTAAACTATCTCCTTACAGGTAAAATCATTTGATTGACAAATAAAATAATTGCTTTAAAAATACTTCTGAGTCATTTTGTCCTTACCTGCAGGCATGAACCATTACTGCATGCAGTGACTGTTCCATTTCCTAGCACAGACTTGAAGAAGCATCATATCTCTCGTTCAGAAGGTGACTAATCTGTGGGTTTGCAATTCCTAAGCTATTTACAAATGGCACACCCTTTCCATATTATTTTTTTAAATACATTACTACCAATTATCAAATATTTTTTACATGAATCTTACAAATAACCTTGGTAATTTTGTGTAGCAGCAACCTCAAAACACAGAACAAAAACAGAAGAGCAGCATTTCCTTAACAAAGATTTTTTTTTTTATTCTGTTTGAGGTTGTGGGGTGGGATTTTAGTTTTTTTGGGGTGGTTGTATTTTTTTTTTTTGGCTAAATAATTTTTCTAAGCCCTCAACAGCTGTCACACATGAACCAGCGATCTGCTGTGCGATGGTGTGCATGCTGCAGCTGATTAGGCTCCACTATTTTTTTTAAAATCAATTATCTTTTGCAAAAGCAGAACAGCTTGCTCAAATACACATCTTCAATACAGCACAAAGCCTGGCATGCAGTACAATACATTACAGCAAACTTGACAAGAAAATAATAATAATGTCCTGGTTTGTTTCTTAGCAATGCTACACCATTAATTGTTCATGCAAGAGATGTAGCTGTACCTTTCTGAAGAGGACGACTTCTCAGAGTTAACTGACATCAGCAGCTCAATCTTCTGCTTGATTTCTGGAAAAATCAGAAAATATTCACAACCAAGATTGCCTGCCCTTGCCTTCAAGCTTTATATCAAGAGATTTTTCTTCTCTAATCTCTTTTGTTTAGAACGAGGCCACAAGATTCACAGTACTTGTGTTAGGACTGGGATTCAATGGTGCTATAAAGGGAAAAAGCTCCAGAGGCATCAGGCCTTGCTAAACTATGCACATGACTGTTTATGAAAGCAGGAAGTACCATTTCTTTTAAGCAGAGGGGTGTTTTCTTTTTTAAGGTAGAACCAGCAGAGATCTACAAGGAAAGTTTATAGTTAAAAAATTTACAATTCAAACAAGAAATGCTAACATATGAGCTTTACATATTGGATAATTTTGGAAGCCTGAGTAATAAAGTTATAAGCTACAATGAACGGGCATGCAACCCCTGGCTGCTTCTGTTTCACTAGTCCTGAAAAATATGGCTCAGTCAGTAAATCATTTTGGTCACTTAAGAATGAAATATTAAACCAGAACCCAGTTATAGATTTTTTTAAATGTTTAAAGTATATTCTAATTTCTTGATAGTCTTAAGTGAAGATATAATGCCTAGTCCTTAACTTCTTTAGAAAAAGACTTCTCATTTTACACCTTCATTTTCCTCTCCTCCTTCACAGTACAGTTCAAGTGAGCAGCAACACCCTGCTACCGAGCTGAGATAAATACTTATCCTTTCAGGAAGGGACTGACAATGCCATCTACCAACAAAAATGAAAGTGCCAGTTGAATTTAACTAAAAAGAACAGCTGATGCTGATGTGGAAAACAGATAATAGGTTAAACCGGAAGGGTGAAAATCAAAGGGAAAAAAGGGAAGGGGGGGGAAGCAAACCCATTACCTTTAAAATATCAAGGAACAACCTAAAATAAACCATTCTGAGTGTGTAAAATGTACATGACTCTATCACTGAAGACCATCCCACTTATAAAGCGTTTTTCTAATCTAAAAAGTATTTCCAAATGGCTTTTAAAAGTCCAAGTGCTTTCATAATATTAAGTTCACATACTCAATATGAAACATTGTGCCACTGAAGTATTATACACATTCCAAAAGCATCATTTTGTGTACTTTTAAAAAATTGAAATATTATTGCAAATTTATAAAGAATTTGGATTTCCATACATTCATTGTTGCACATTTTCCTCCTTTTGTGTACTTTTCAAGGTACTACTTTTTAAGAACAAATCTTAAATCTTAAAAATACAGATAATAAAACTCAAAATAAAATGTATTTAAAAAGAGTCGAGGATTTAATTGCCTAAAATATAATGGGACAGTACAGAAATATCCTCTCAAATATTATTAAAATAAGGGGTTTTTCTAATTGTTTATTTTTAAGCCTTGCAACATCATCCAGTGGACTTATTATAAAACCAGCAGGCCTATCTGCTGAGAGAATAAAATTGACCACAAGCTATATAGCCAAACTGTCTAACTGCAAAGCAGTTAAAACAGGCACGATGATAATGAAACTTACCTGGCCTGTTCCTCAGTGGATAACAAAGCCCAACAGCACATGGAGACATAGGCAGTGCTCAGCAATGCCCCCCCTCTCTACTCCTCATCTTTCTAAGAGTGTGGTGTTTAGGAGAAATCAGGCTCCAGTTTGAAACTGTCTTGGATTCAAAAGCAGGCTTTAGGGAGCTCTGGTGGCCTAGTGGCAAGAAGCTGCACTGCAATCCCAGAGGAACACGGTTCGAATCCACCAGACGCTCTGCCGGAGAAGGAGGCGCAATATCCTCCTGTACCAGTCAGATCTGATTTAACAGTACACGCACACAAAATTTAAAAAAAAAAAAAAAGCAGGCCTTAACCATCATTTTTAATAGCGAGAAATTAAATTCTATTCCTCTCCCTATTCTCTTGTAAAATGGGGAAAATGGCAATTCCACTAGCAGGGCTGCTATGAAGATGTCATGAAATCCTGTTTAGTGTGTAGTAAGCCCTCCCTGTCGAATATTATGCAGTGCTGAGCAAAGATAGCAATTCCCAATAAATCCTTGGCAAATATACAAGATCTGGCCACCTGTACATCACTTTCTATACATGTGGAAATTTAGCTTTAATCTGTGTGTCAGTTCCCCTTTCTTAAGGATTATTCTGTGGTTTTTAAAATTTTATTAATTTTAATGAACATTTACAGAAATTTTGGATTTCCATTCATTTACTGTAGGATTATTCTGTTTATATGTAAAAATATTTTGTGACTCAAATTCACAAATTTCCTCTTAAAAAACCATAAATAATTACTCTGTTTTATCAATCAGCCTCAAAAGAAATAAGGTTACACTTGGATCTACCTTTATCCCGCACTGTTTTATTCCAAAACGATAAAAAGTTCATGATTCACTGAAAAGAGAGAGAGAGAGAGAGAAAGATCTCAACAAAAGGGACTGACATAGTGGCTCTAACAACTGACTGAGCATACAGATACGGGAAGGACAGCACAAGGTTCTGTTCTCCAAAGAACAGCTATGAAGTAGGGTCAACTCAATGGTACCTAACAAAAACAATATATAAAATCAGTACACTTAAGCTGAAAAACACTACTCAGACTTAAATGAAATTTTTGCCAATCTTAAAAACTTACAAAAGAAAAAAACTACAGAGTTTTCAGGCTGAGGACCTTGGGAGCTACAAAGAAAGAAGATACATGAAAGACTTTCAACATTGTTTCCACATTTTCTCCAAGTTTTCAAATTTGTTCTACTTCCAGAAGGACTGAAAGGTTTGAGGATATGTACGAATACTATATTACTATATCCTTTGAGATCTGTGTATACTATCAGTATTTGCTGTTATGTGCCTCCAACTATAAGCCCATTGTTATCACTGGACCAAATCCATCTTGCTGAAGGTCATGCTCCAAGGACTGGCCCTCCTAACAGTATGCTCAAAGTATATGAGGTGATACTTCACCCTTGCCTCAAGGAACGCCTTGACAATCTGTGGGATACTCTGTACTCTTCTTCAACACCACAACTCAAAGGTATTGATTCTTTTCTCATTCTCTGTCAATGTTCTCATTCTGAGTCACTGCTCAGTTTTCAGATGCACAAGAAGTAATGAAAAAGATCATGGCTTGGATCAGGTGCACCTTAAGACTATAAACTGATATCATTGCTCTTTAAAATGTTAGAGAGATCCCTGCAGTGTATTGTGCCAATGTAAATAAGACTCCTTTCAATTTCTTGATGGCTAGTACCAACGGTGTTGACTGAGAGACCAAGGAAGATTAAATCACTGACAATTTAAATTTTTCATCCATCTATTATGATGTTACCAACTGGGCCAGTGGTGAGGATTTTTGTTTTCTTGATGTTGAGATGTAAACCACATTGAAGGCTATAGTCTTCGATCTTCTGCAGCAAACACTTCTAGTTCTCCTTACTCTCAACAAGATTGTGTCATCTATATAACTTTGGATGTTAATGAATCTTCCTCCAATCTTGATGTCAAATTCGTCAGTATAAAGACCAGCTATCTAGTCCACGTAATCGATACCATCCATGGATTTTGTTACTCCCTACCTTTTAAAACAACTGTCGGTCATTTAATTGACTTCCATTTCATCAAAAGATTGCCACAACCCTGGAGAATTTTGAAGTTTATGTGGCTTCAACTTCCTAAAATCCTAGATTCAGGACACGGACCTCCTCGATCCATAACCTAGTGAAGTTATCATTGGTGTCATCCACGCATGGTACTCTGTCATACACGTTGCAAGTATTTCCCCTCAATTAGTTGTTGTCTTCCATTTCTTCACTATATATTATATTTTTATGCAATTAAGCAGATCAACCATTTCCTTTATGAATTTTGGCTCCTCCACAAACTTAGAAAGGTCTTCCTTATAACTTTAAAAATGTTTTACTTCCTCTCCTCATTTTCCACTTGTTGTTGCTGACTGTCATCAAGGTGAGCACAACTCATAGTGACCCTATGAACAAAAGACCTGAAGCTTTTCTATAACTATCATTGTTTCTCAAAGTTCATAGAGTTTCCAGACATACGTTGTTTGGGAAGAGGATGTCACCCTGCTTCCAAACCTGTCTTAAACTGAGAGCTCTACCAAACACTGTGCTCCATGGGTAACCACTATGCCATTTGACACCCCAATAGCACAAGGTTCTGCATCACATCAAACCTAGGTTACCTCAGACAGCATATTGACAGAAGAGTGCTGTACCACTTAGAAGAATGTTCCTCCAAAATATAACAGCAACCTCCCCAATGTCTTGTTGACTCTAAGTTAGAGGCTTAAATAAAAAAACAACCAAAATAGTATGTTGGTGTTATTGTTAGGTGCCGTTGAGTCACCTGCAACCTAAAGTGACCCTATGTACATCAGCTCTGAAGCCTTCCCTGTCCTCGGCCAGTCTCACTAATTCCAACACACTCACACCCACTGCCCCAGTTATTGTATCAATCCATCTCAATCGGGGTCTTCCTCTCCTGCACTGTCCCTCCACCCTTCAGAGCATGATTTCCTTCTCCAAGAAACAGTCTCTCCTGGCCATGTGTCCAAAGCATGTGAGACAAATTTACTTACATAAAAATTATGGAACTCTCTAGATTCAATTTTATTTTAAAAACTAATATGCAGACCTACTTTTGTAGACTATATCTTAAAACTTCACCCTGCTCCGAGTTTTAAATTGTGCTCTCCATACCCAGGCGAGATCCAGTTTTGTCAGAACCATTTATTAAAAGAGGCTGAGGGGATGAGATTGTTTCTGGCCTCTTAATTCTCTTTGGTCTGTACCAAGACCAAGCTTATTTGAAACTATTTTAGGCTAAAAGAAATAGATAGGTTTTCACCTAGAAGAATACCAGACTATACCAAGAAGAATAGTAAATGGCCTCTACTGGCAGCAGATCCAGGATCCTGAAGAATGGACAGCGCGAGAAATAGTCTATACTACAGCCCCCTCTCTGGGGCTGGTCTACACCTTAATGCTCCACCATTCCAGTATTTCAGTGTCTTATCCATTCCTAATTTCATTTCTCCTCTCACTAGCAAATAACTGCTTCTCCTCTGTAATTCAAAGATGGAGCAAAATGGATCTTCTCTCTAAGAGACTTTAGGCAGACTGAGTCTCCC